ACTGGTGCCTCTTACTGGTGTTGTAATCCTTCTAGATAAAATACACAAGATGTACCTGGTACGCTAATCAGCATGGAAGCAGCCAGAAGGCTAAAAAGCTCAGGAAGTTACAACCATGACTAACATAACTCCTTTAACTCTTGTACTTTTTTTTTTCCTTCAGATAATTTCAGTAACCATGGCATGAATCCTACAAGATTGCCACTATGGCAGCCACAGTGACAATACAGGTTTAATATCCCAGCTGTAAAAATAAGCAACAAGTACTCCCCCTCTTTTTTTTTTTTGAGAAAGATTTTTCACTGAAATGAAGTTAGTGAATAGTAATCAAGGGTATACACTGTGGTTTTTTTTAAATAAGGTATGGCAGAAAAAACAGGGCGGCCTTCAAATTAGAGTTCACAAAAATACAGTATTTGTTAGAAGAGGGGGAAGTACTAGGACACTAAAATATGGCATAATGGAGTTCCATTTTACAGAACTTTATGGATGGCAACTAACTTTACTGCTCAAGAACTACTACTAATCAATTAATAAAATGAAGGTTTATGGTAGACTAAGTCAAAAAAAACCCCACTAAGTTCGGAAAATAAAGATCCTTCCTCCACAGTATGAAAAGGCAATATATTGACTAAATGATGACCAAATCATGACAAGTATCAAGACCAATGTAAGGAGGAAGGTAAGCTGAGCAAAACTGCAAATACCACATAATTAGCTGACATTTTCTAAACTGACAACTTTGAGAAAAAATTAATAAAGGTTATATTTAATCCTGAAACATAAGTTTAAGTTACATACATACTTCTTGCAGGCATAATTAAATACAAAATACTGCTCAATTCACACAACACCATTTTCTCTACTTTTAGCTAGAAAACCTTTTCCACGTCTTCTGCTAGGCGAATGTTGTTTATTTTTAATTGTGAAATGAGACAAGGTTGATGCCAGAGGTCAAGCAAAATTTAGTACCTAAGAGTTAACTTGCTTCTCCACCAAACTCTCAAAGCTGTAGCTGACTATTACTTTGATTAGTTGGAATCTCAAATTCAAACAAGTTTTAGTTTTGACAGTTTCTGAGGGATCTGATGGACAGGACTCAGACTTTGCTGTAACTTTAAGACATAACTACTTCAACACCTTTACAAACTGCTTGGCAGAAGCCCACTTGGACTTCTGGCTCACCCGCTTTGAGTTAAGGTTCACACATCAAGCCTTAATTGCACCAACAGAAAAAGGAGCACACTTTCACTTTGGCCAGTTTTTTTACGAGGCAAATAAACTCAACCACGCTAACCTACTACTCATATCCAAAAACTTTACATATGTATTTCCTACCAAAAGATGAACTGTACCAACTACCCTATTTTAGAATGTTCTTTTTATCAAGGGGAAAAAAAAAAACAAAACAAAACAGTACATGAGTTTCTAACAAACATTTCCACTAGCTTCTGATTCAGGCTAGAAACACAAATTTGAAATAAAATTTAAGAATAGAAGTTGCACTCATCCTGTCAATAAGTTGTAGGATTCTCTACCATTTCAAATATTGCTTTAACAGGTTTCTTAATGAAGTTATTACTGCACACCGGCCCCTGCCTTCCCAGAACAGCCTGCCTCTGGAGAACCTCTCTTGGTCACTCCAGTTCCAAGCAACACTACAAGACGAAAACAGGCTCCTAATTTTGCAATGCTGAATTTTAATGGGAATAGGAATAAGGAAGTCAAGAATAACTTTCGTAAAACTCAATCTCACTCTATTAGAGCAGTTCGCAGAGCTAAGTTTATACAAACTGTTCATTTTAAACTGAATCATTACATGAAACAACAAATATGGAAATCCAAAACTCCAGTTAGAACAACAGCATTAACTGCCAACTAGTAGTACTTACTTGGAAAGGGCAAAACTCATAGATTGTACGGAAAAGTGGAGAGGACAGGCATTTCTTGGTCAAGCTTCATTTTAAGGAAGTAGTTTTCTCTGCTGCATTAACTGGTATAAATCACCATAATATTCTGCTCCATAAGCAGGATCAATTTTCCTTTCACAGTTTTTTTTCTATTTTAAGACTTTGAACAGGTTACATGATTTGTTGGTCTGAGAATGAATAAAAGACAGACTTCTGTCATCCTAAGCCTCTCACATGGTGCAGAGCAAATTCTCTTCTATTTCCTTTAACTATGAAGGAACAGCATGCACTAATTTTCTTGCTGGATAAAATCTATTTCCCCTCTCTTTTTATGCTGATTAATCCAAGATTTTAAGTCCTCCCTAGCACATCAGAGTAGCTTTTCCACCTTCTACCAAAGAGCAAGCAAGAAGTTAAACTGACAGGCCAAGTACACATAAGTTTTTAAACAAGAGTAAGAGTCCAGAACCACTTTAAAGGATCTCAATTTGTGACACTGTTTTACATGATCAGCTGATTGTAATCCATCCAGAAATAGACAGGCCATTATGATCCATTCATTTCAATCTGGACTCTACAGAGAGCTGGAAGACGTACACCATTCCTTACAAAGCATTTCTATCACTATTTCTACCCTCAAAGCAGTCTCTGATCCCAATTGTACCAAAAACCCCCTAAATCAATGCTCTCCCTCAGAAGATACAGAACTTGAATCAGAACTACATAAAAAAGCCATTTTCCCTCCGATTATGTGATTAACATGTTACCAATCTACAGAAAAAAAAAGGCTATTATGGAACTTGGGACTGCCAAAGGGAAAATTCAACCTCCACACACTGAGCCGCTTCTAAACACTAACATAATTTTCACCTTCACACAGGAACTGCTCAGAAAGAGGCAGTTCACGGAGCAGCATGTTTATGCTACACCAATTCAGAGGAGTCACAACTGGTGCTGTTTGCCAACAACAGCTGTAGGGCAGGATGAACAGAAGGAACCTTTTAACTTGCATCAAAAGATCTCAGAGGAATTAAAATCATAGTCATTGATTTTCCTGTCTTCCACATTTAAACATAGTCCAGTGTGTACATCCTTCCAACTACAGAACAAAAAGTGAGCAAGCTGCTTAGTTACAGCATCATCATCACCTAGAAACACCACAGGCCGTAAAACGGAAGTTTTAACCATTCTTGAGTTTGTGCTGGCTGAAAAAAATCCAATGGCAAGTTCTGTACTAGCATTTTAGGTTTTGTTTTATCATCAGAGCTATCACAGCCTTCTCAGTAGTAGTTACTTCCTTGCCCCCAGCCCTTTTCCAAAAAAAGCCATAAACTTTCTCTAAAACTGGCTGTGTACCAGAATTAAGAGGAGCCACAACTATTTAAATAAAGTGCAACTTAACTCATTCTTAGTGAGTTGAGAATAGCAGTGAAGTGTGACCAGCTTACGGACATACATCACTCCATCCTACTTAAACACTGCATCCTGTTGACTGGCTAATGCCGCTGGCTTCTTGAAGTTGTCTGCACAAGCTTTTTCTCCTTATAAAACAAAGTAGTTCAAGCACCAATTTTTTTCCGGTCGAGAGGAACAGGAAAAGGGAAAGTACTTTTTTTCTTGAATGAAATTCTTAACACAGGTGAGGTTATAGTTTCAACAACATTAACTCTCATTCATCCCTGCCCCCTCAAGACTGCAGAAACTCCTCTCCAAGCCTGCTAATGCGCACTTCCCTGCTTCTCAAGGCTTGTAGCACAGCCGGGCTAATAACTCTTCATTTACCTGCACGCAGGCTGCAGACAAGCCAGAAAACAGACCGGCACGGTAACAGCTTGAGCTCAGCTGCCGACAAAAAAAGCTCCCAGGCAGGGAGGATGCCCCACCACCGCTCCCCGGGCAGGCAAGGTGCGGGGAGGCCAGCTAGGGTAACCGGGGCACGCAAGGCACCGGCTCCTCCCGCCCCTGCTCCCGGCAAACCCCGGCAGCTCCCGGAAAAGCCAGCCGGGAGCCCTCGGGACGACCAGAGCGAAGCCTCCCCTTCCCCCCGCGGGCACCGGCGCAGCCTCAGCGCCAGGAGGAGCCCGCAGCGATGGGGAGGCCGCCGGACTTCCCC